GTTAATCCAATGCGAAGTAGGCCCTATGGCAAAATGTACTTTGAATGATGAGCACTCTTTTAACAGCGAGGGCACAGCAGTCGTGTGCGCTTTGAGACAACGTTTAAAGGGAAGTGTCCGACTTAAGAGGTACAGAGAGTACTAAGGTCTTTTCTCAGAAAGAATTTGCAGGTGCAAAATGGATTAAAAACAAACAAACTGTCATGACTCCAGTGACACACTGACCTATACCGAACAACCATGACATCTCTCTGCTCAGGGAACAATGCAGATTTGGGACTTTAAACTACCCAATATGTACCTACTAAACATTACACAACATGGCATATTGTTGTGTATAGATTCGATTAGTTAACTCTGTCCTAGTATATTTTAGATTTCTCTTGGTGCTTTAGGGCCACTGACACTATCACATTTTATAATGGTGTTTAGGGCACTTTCAATTTCAATATTAGAGCTCATTTCACTTCTCATTTGGACCCTTACTTACCTTAAGATGCAATCAATTAAGATCTTTGTAAAAATAATCTTAATATCTGAAAAATCCACCTCAAGAGCACAAATACACATATGCTTTATGACTGAGAATGCACAGTTAGCCTTGAAATGAGTCTGTAGTGATGGATTGTGGCAATACTTTATCTTATTCTCTATGTCAGGAGTTATTTTGGGACCTTTTATGTCTCGTAAAGCATACCGGCATGGAAAACAAATTATAATAATGCATGCTAAAAGTTATGTGGGGTTGCTGTTATTTCTCTTTATCATGGACAACTTCTCTAACTATATATACTCATGCTCCTCAGGGAGTAAAGATGCAGTAAAGGTCAGCATGTCATTCATCCTCTCAGCAAGAGAGGATATCCTCTGAACACCCTGGACCCGGCAGGAAAATACTGTTATATTCAGGGAAAGGTCAAAGTTTAAATCATTACCCATCTGGATCTGAAAGTTGGTGTTTCGTGTCAGGTTGATTTGTTTGGTTTTTGTGATTATTTGATTTTTAAGATCCAACATAACTAGGGGCTTACAGGTTTTACATCTTTAAGAGAAATCAAAGAAGAATACAGATTTGTGACATTAACTGATTAGGATTACATTTGGTTTGTAGATTTTGTTTTACAATATAAAAAACGTCCATGTCTTGAGAGTGGAGCTGAAGCCTGGACGCAATTAGCTTGTCTTAGCATAGCAATATCTAAGGAAGAAAGGCAAAACAGTTAACCAGACACTGTCCAAAGTAACAAATAAAATCCGTACCAGTAGACATGCAATATGTTGCCCCCTTTTCCAATGTTTATGCTATGCTAATTGACATAACTGAAATGGTTCTTTCAGTCCAACATTTTTCAAAATGTCGCACTGTTCCCTAAAAGCTTTATTTTCCACGCAAGAAAGATATTTCCTAGCTTTGATTGGATACAAAGATCCTGGCACACTGTGCCTTGTTATGTGCCTACACTGATGATCCTATTCAGGTGTGTTTCAATTCAGAATCAAAGCACATGCTAATAAAGTAAATGTGTGGGTCGGAAAAAAAAGAAAATCTCTCTCATTCATTCAACAGTTAGTTTTGTGGTCACACATGAGCTAGATTCTAATAGATGGACACCATAATAGGTGCATTAAAAAAAGGGAAAAAAATAATGAGGCCAATTATAAGATGAATAAATCTGTTGAATTTGACAGTTTGTGAAAGACCTGTCACATTTAGTACACACGCACACACACACACACGCACGCACGCACGCACGCACGCACGCACGCACGCACGCACGCACACACACACACACACACACACACACACACACACACACACACACCACCACACACACACACACACACACACACACACACCTCTTGACTCTTGTTGTGAGGTAACTGCTGCTCTCTCCATGTTCCTCTTCAGCTGTCGGTATTCGTTGATGGCTGAGTCACCGTTTTTCTCTGATGTCACTGCAGACAGAATCGCTAATGACCCAACTCACCTCCGACCGGGCTGTCTGCCTGTCTGAGGATGAAAAAAATATCCCTCATTGCATTCAGGTTTATCAGCAGCCATTTCAGTGCTTTAATGGGACTCCTGGGGTTCACTAATACACTTAAAGACAGTCTACTCCCTGCTATATGTTCAAACGGCTTACAACAAAACTTTTAAAGGGTTTCTCAAAATTCTAAATATATTCTGTGCATTTCCAATTTACCAAATGAAATGCATCTATTGATTCTGCATGTTTAAACCCTTACAAAAGACCTCTCCTGTGCTAAGAAAGAGCTTGCATGTTTTGTGTTTGCTTCTCTATAAAGCATGTCTATAAGCAATGAATCATACTGCTTCTGTTTGAAGGACACAGAGTCTAGGGTCGCGTCCTCTCGGTGCAATGCAGCATCTGTGAATGTGCTTGTGGTCCTGTTTGTGGACAAGACAGATGCTGTGAAGTGGGGCACAATGTCACACCATATCTTAAGTCATTATGTAACCTGTCAGTTTGCATGAAGAGAAATCGTCAAAGACAATAATCAAAGGGGGTTCTGTCGTTGTATGGGAGAATAAATGTATTTCGTACAAGAAGGTGGAAGACAGCCTGTAGTGAATTCTTCCCTTCGTACAGAGAGTACAAAGACAACATTTCAAACAAAGCATATAAGGTAAAGACAATTTAAGTGAAGGTGTCGATGCAGAGATACTGCGTGGCAGTTTCCTGAGTCCACGTGTGTGAGCCATGAAGAACATTTTGTAGCTTATGACTCAGAACATTTTGTCACCCTGATCCATTATCAGCCAGTGCCTGCCTTTGTGTTTTTTTATAATTGAGCGGCACAGAACAGCCTGCTGCAGGTTGTTCTGGGACAAGTGCAGTATAATTGTTTTGAAAAAATGGAAAGTGGAAATTCACTATGACAAATTTCTAGCCTGGGAATGCAATATGACAGTAAAAAAAACTAAACACTACCATTATCATGAGCACTGTAGTTATTACTAAATGTGTATTAATCTGTCACTGAAAATAGTCTCCAACAAATGTTTGAATTGCATGTGCTACATACATTTGCTGACAATAATGACAATATAAAATGATGCCATACATGTCAAAGAGTTGAAATAAAACAGTGGACTTCAGAGCTTTTTTGCATATAAAATATTTTATTCTAAACCTTCTGAAAAGTTTGTCATGATTTGAGTTGACACACCGACATTTACATATGGACATACTTAAAACATATGGTTGCCAAACGGTTGTCAAAAGCAAAGCAAGCAATTATTGACGCACCTGAGCTATAACTGGAACTAACATTTAGAGTGGCATGCAACACTGAAATCATGTTGATTTATAAAATGTGCATGTGTGTTCATAACCCATTACATGTATATTTGCGCATTTCTACAAATGGGTTATTGGCAATTAAAAAAAATATGAGTAAACTGTTAATTTAGTTTACCTTGACATATTGTGTCACATTTAAAAAATATTTTTAAGCATACATTTTAACCAAATCCAAACCAAAGATTTAATTGATCTCACTGATGCACATTTTAATTACAACTGTCTGAAATAACACTGTTATTATAATTGTTATGGCCTCAGGTCTTTTTATTAAAATGAGGGCAGTGGCTTAAAAAAGCCTTCCGCTGATATCACAGCATAAATCACAGCGTTAAATCATGAATCTGTTTATATTAATAAGAAAGCTCATTTGTGCCGTCATGAATGGATAGGTACATTCATGCTTGAACTGGGATTTTGATGCAGCCAAAGACTTAATTAAAAACTGTCACCCTGGGAGAAGGAGACGATGCCTGTGAAAATACTGTGGGAGGAAATTAAATGAGTTTTGACAAACCCCATGGGCTTGCGCACTCACACGTTCATTTTTGCACACATACTCTACTATAAACCCTATCATGCATGGGTATCCTTATATATGGCCTAGAATGGCCTGACATATTACATAACGCTCCATCGACAGCACTCCTTGACTCTCTACAGCACTGACAGCTCGCCTTTCAGTGGCTGTCAATCACACGGCCGGCTGGGAGAAAGCAACGGGACGACTTCTGAGGGCTCCGCTTTGAAGCTGCACTAAGGCTGGGAGTGCTTTCCCCCAGGCATACATGTACTAGTAGTCTGTTGCAACTCACTGTAACATATTGTGTGTGTTTTGATGCTATTGATTGCTTGCTTCTGAGAAACACAAGGAGATAGAATAATGGTATTTTTAGAAAGCCAACTATGTTGGATAGAGTATATCTTCCTTATTTTGTTCACAATCTCTTTGTGAATCCTCTTTGACTTGATTACACATGACAGCTCATGACCTTACAGTCAATACTCAGCCTTACGACAACCTTTTCAAGAAAACCAGGAACATTAGAACAGAGAAAGAGAGCAAACTTGTGACCTGGGTTCCACCAGCCATTCTTAAATCCATTGCTACGTTTGTGTGATTTGACCGACACATATATCTCCATGTAAGACTTAGTCTCTTTTGGGCAATTGGTGACAACTAAATCTCCACTTAATCACTTAAAGTTACAATTAGGTTACATTTTTGAACCTATGAAGAGCTGGTGCAACTGGTCCTCCTGCCACACTTTTATGCAAAACATACTCTCTTTTTCACCTGATAACCCATACATTATAGACATTTGGTATAGCAGATAGGCTTAGTTTGCCACATACAGCATACTGTCTTGTAAGTCACGCTACAGTATATTGTATTTACTGTTTACTGTAATGCTACAAAATGTCTATAGCACTAGCAAATATATTGAGAATATGACAGCATATCATACTGGATTAAAAATAAATAAAAACATTCCATAAGACACAATTCAAACCCTTCAACTTGGAGAAACCAGAGCCTTAAATGTCATAAAAAAAGAAGAAAAAAGCCTGTATAAAATATTAAAATAAGATGTTCTGACTGATTTTCAGTATTAAATATCAAAATAAGATGTGTTCCACCAACTTTACCTCGAATGACTTTGTCAATTTAATTGTATTTTATTTTATTAATTGTAATGCATTATAATTCATTTTCTAAATGTAAATAAGCTTTGGCAATACGAACAGTGGTATGTCGGGCAAAAAAAGTAATTTAAATGAACTGCACCATGACATTCCTACCATTTACATCATCTCTAATCAACCCACTATAAATCAGCCGCAGAGAGTTTATTTAAATCAACACTTCTAATTAAACGTGATGCGACTGATAGACCTAATAGAGCCCGGATATTTAGTCACCGCAGTGAGACAGCAAACAGCTCACTGATGATGTACATTCAGTTTTGGCAAAGCATAACGAATATGTGAAAAGTGTGAATAAGCAACAGTTACATACATGCTAGGGTTTATTTCCTCCTGGGGAAAAATCAGACAGTGATGACGCACCAAGCACTCTGTATCAGTTTCATGAAAAAAACCCATAACATAGGATTCAATTTCAAGAAATAACTGGAAGCACTCCCGATCCTTTGAACGCAGCATCTCTGATTCTCTTTCAGAGAAATAGGATCATTACTTTGGTATAAGGGAGATGGGTTGTGATCAGGGAGCCTGGCTCTGTGTGGTCAATGTAACTCCTTTAACACATTAGGACTGCTGTGAAATGGCTAATGGCACTGGCAGACAGAGAGGTGACATTTCCCCAGTTGTTAAGAAACAGTTCCTTTACTGCATACTTTAAATTCCTAAATGAAAATGTTGCGTTTGTCTTTATTCAAAGAAGCCTCCTGAATATGCCTTTTTTACTACTGTGCTCATAAATAACAAGTATGAGTGGACAAACAAGTGTAACTCAGTCCGTCATGCATCATCTTCACATGTTCAGCTTCGTTCTTCGTAAGGCACAAGTGGATTATTCCTTAGGGTGAGAAGCTGAATGTTAGTAATGGAGCGACACAAATGTCAACATTAATATCTTAAGCGAGGACAGACTGATCAGATGCAAGGCATATAAAGTCATACTGGAAGAAGTGTAAACTATAAAGAAAAAAAGCCAAGTTCCTTAGTGTAAGCACAGGTCTGCTGCCTGGTGGAGAACATAGTTCATTGTTAATTACGGAGTGTTTTTTAGCAGTGAGGATCCTCTTTATCTGATGCAGATTTCAGGGCCTCAGGAAATGTAACAAGAGACGAGCACAGATACATGCTTGCTTTCTAAGTTTGACGGATGTATTTATTACTCTGAGTATATGAGAAAAAAGATGTCCAGTATGTTGCTACCTCAATATGGGCTTGCATTTCCTTCCTGCTCGTGAGATAAGTTTGCGAACTCAAGCCGCTGATACAATCATTAGTTCCAGTCCGGACCTCGCTTCTAATTTGGCTCGATCGCTAGCACAGCTGTCGATCATGTTGGCACAGACACAATGAAAGCAAGTCGGCGTCCAGCATTGAAACAATGGAGGCTGTAGCTGGCACATCATGAGGTTTAGTTTGATTTTTCAATCACGCACATAAGAGTGCGCAGCAGGGCGATTCATCTGTGTTGAAGTCACTTTCAAGGTTTTCAACCAATGATCGGAGCACGATCCAATCAATGAATGCGCACTGGTACCGTATCACAGATGCTCATTCAATAAGCACAAGAGGGTCTTTGTGTTTGTAACTCCTGTCCGCTGTCCCTGAATCTCATATTCACGCCGCACCTTAATTGAGACTTTCATTGATGGCGAACTCCCGCCTGTCAGCGTAGTCCGGGCTGAGGCCGTTCAGGTACAGGCTGCCGTTCCTGGCCAAGGACCCCGTGACGGGACTGAGGGAGAGAGTCAAGTTGGGGTAGGCCTCCCTGTCCTCACACAGCGTGGTGGACAGCGACCTCTTGCCAGGGGTCATCTCCTGGTTGATCCCTAGCTCGGAGGACAGCCTGCGCTTGATGGAAGCAGCGCGTTGGAACTTGTCGTGGATGTCAACGCTGAGTCGCCGCCGGGTCTCTTTAAACTCCGCCGACACGTTTGCTGTCCACTCGGCTGCGTGAGCCCGAAACTCCCCAACCTGCAGAAAGAGATTTAGGATTATTATCTGTAGATTATCAAAATGTTCCTCTCTATAATGTACATACATGCTACATTGTTAGCATGCATGCTTAATAAATATACCTCAAGGTTAGTGCAAGTGTTAGAAAAATATCACTCGTCGCCGGCTTGAGCTTCAATAACAGGATACATGTATTTATTAATCCTTGCAAGAATGGAAGTATCATCACATACAGAGCATATGGTACAACTAGTTCCTGAACAGTGTCCTTCACATGCTTATATACAAGAGAGGGTGTTTCACAGTCACAAGATGCAGGAATACCGGTTCAAAGCAGTATACAATGTTTAGTTCAGATTAGCTAAAACTGATCATGCTTGTCATATGCCTATCTCCATAGAGGCTGAATCATCATGTTAATCGTTGTCACATAGCTATCATATGCCTAAAACTGTGTGTCCTGACGCTCTAGGTAATCATACACCATGTCATGTACGCAGTTACAGTTGGGCCTTTGTTATCATGTGCTACTCTGATATTGGAAGAGTACATTCAGTATTTTCCCAACAGCAAGGTAAGTCGATTGCCAATAAATGATTATGGTGATCATATAAGATCCACCAATAATCACCTGTGAAGCTTACGAACACATTATCCTCTTAGCTAAATGGCTGCTGGCTGTAGCCATGAATTTACCGAACAGATACTGAAGTGGTATCAATCTTCTAATCTAACTCTAGGCAGGAAACCAATTAGGCATTACATTACATGTCAGTTATCTGACGCTTTAATCCAGAGCTACTTACATACAGCTCACTCATCATAGACATACGGGAGCAGTTTGCGAGCTATCTTGCCCAACAACACGTTGACATGTTGACTGCAGGGGCTGGGGATCGAACCCCTGACACTCTAATTGGTAGATGTCCACATTTCCCAACATGTCTGGTATTGGCATAAGAAGCTAGAATTGTAATGATATAGAAGAAAAGGATTTATTTTCTTTGTGAATAATCTACGAAGTAGGGTAGACAAGATTTAATTTCCTCTTTTTCTACACATTTGTACGCAGTTGGTGAGAAGTGTATGTTCGCACATTACCCACCCACCACTTCACAGTTAAAGTTATTTCTGAACTGCAGGACATCAATAAATAAACGGAATGCCCTGTGTGTGTGATCTAATGGCCCAGGTTGATTTATTTCTAGTCCTGAAGTAGCAATGCAGGAGAGAGCAACAACCACATAATTGATCTTGCCTTCATATTGCGTTAGGCCTCTTTCTGTAGGCTGTTTAATTATCTATGAGGCGCTGAGGTGTGCTGCTTGTAAAGCCACTTTTGAGTACTAAGATTAACATTTATGAGGTATGGGTTTTGTCCGTGTGTGCACACAAGACACACAATAACACTACAGTACAAAAACTTGAGTACGTGCTTTCTCCTCCTTGTTATCACTTACTCTGCTGAATCCTTCTCCCCCCTCCTACTTCCCTAATAACCTCCCACTGAAACCTCATCCTCAGCTCACAGCCTAAGAAAGCACACTCCTAATAATGCCTGGGCAGGATTTACACTCCAGATCGCAGTATGATCTTATGTTATAAAGATGAAAGAAATAGCATTTGAATGTGTCTTGTTTATCCAGGAGATTGGGTGAGTATCTTGAAGTGAGTGTCTCTCCATCCTTTTCTCATGTAAATAATTAATCTGCCAGAACGGGGGGTTTTGTTATTACTCAGCAGCAACTGGAAACACATCAGATATTTAATCCACCTCATGCACGAGATGGCATTTACTTCACAAGGCGCAGCAAAAGAGATTAATCACTTCAGATGAAAGAGTGATCTGTACAACAGTGTGACTCTATCATTGTAAGGGAAGATGGATGTAATCACACCTGAACTTACTGCAAATGGCTTATACCAACAATTGATCATTTATCCAGTTAGTTAGGGTTTAACATAAAACAGTAGCAACATAAAGTGGTGTAATGCAGGTTAATAGCCAACTTGCATGATATGTATTTTAATTGTGTTATAAGTCCCTAATAAGTACATTTATTTTTTTAGAACTAAGGAAACACATCTAGGTAATATCTTCTGTAATGAAGCTTTATCTGCACTAGAAAAAAATGCTGCTCCAAAAACAAATTAAACAATGATGAAAACAAGGTGTTTTCACTTGAAATAAGTACAAACATCTGCCAATAGAACAAGTGTGTCACGATCCTGTCTTGTCATGATTTTATGTTGAAATTCTGTTCTCCCTGTGTCTTGTCTTCCTTCCTGTGTTTTCCCTCGTGTGTCTGATTGCCCTTGGCCCGTTCTCATGTCTTCAAATGTCCCTCCTCGACTCCCCTCCTCGACTCCTATCCTCGAGACTTAGTCCCGCCCACAGGAGATGCGAGCGGAGGAGCCGAGGAGGGGAACCGAGGAGAGAGGAGGGGAAGCAGCAGGCGGTTAGAGAAATGAGAACTCCTCTCCTCTGAGCGGTCATTTTAAAGAGACGTCCATTAATGATGACAGGAGGCACAGCAGCCCTCTGTCTGATGGACAGATGTGTTCATGATGACTTATATATTTACTTTTAATTCATTCACAGTGCGGTATAATGAGACAATAACAGGCTACAGATGCGGACATACACACAGACACACAGACACACAGACACACACACACACACACACACACACACACACACACACACACACACACACACACACACACACACACACACACATGTATGTATATATTTATATAAATATATACAATTTCAGAATCAAACAGAGCACTCTCATAATAACGTAACACTATCAGAGACTGGATATATCCCCCCCCCCTCTCTGGTCGCTACAATGAGGGAAATAAATGACGGGCCAAAAGTTTTATTTACAAGTATTACAAGTAAGCAGAGGACACCAAACCAACTGAGACCTGTCTGTCCGCTGCATCTACGCACACACTGCACCACACACACCTACACCACACACACGCACCTACAGCTCCTAAAGCATATAATCAGGCTACAGCCGTTGTGTATTTTATTTTGTGAAGCACTAAATGGTTTTAGAAAAATATCAACTTTGTTTGTAGATATCTACTAAACTAAAGCAAATAAAGAGAGTAGGCCTGTTATACTGAGTGATATATATTATACACACTGCTCTGCTTTCTGCACGGACCTCACAGCTGTTCTCACTGTAAACATCGCGTTGCGATGAAAGCAGTTAATAACATAATATCCAGGGGATGCATGCAGAGCTGTCATTGGCTGAGATAAGTCCGGCCGTGCGTCTCGACTCTTTGAAACATCACTGTTGCCGGAAATGCATCCACGAAGGAGCCGTGGAAGACCGTGGAGGACCTATCAGTGTATCCTCGGTTATAGCTCCTCCAGAGAGCCTCCTCGACGCTCGATGCTCGGTCCTCGATGTGCATTTCGAGAAATGAGATGTCCTTCAACATGGCGCGCTAAAATTCATTTCCGGGTCACTACCAGAGGACCGAGGAGTCGAGGAGTCGAGGAGGGACATTTGATGACATGAGAAAGGGCCCTTGTGTTTCTGCCTCCCCTGCCCAGCTGTGTCTTGTCCTGTGATTACCCCTCTTTGTATTTAGTCTTGTCTTCCCCTGTGTTCCTTGTCGGTTCATTGTCTTTCCTGTCTCCCTCCATGTTGGTCACGGTCAGTTGTTGTGTTGTTGCTACCTTGTGCTACCTGTGTGTTTCATGCCATGTTTTTGTTCATCAGCTTTGAAAATAAAGCTCGCTTTTTGTTTCTAGACCTTTTTACCTTTTTTTGTAGTCTGCATTTGGGTCCTACCTTTTTCCACGAATCATAACAGAGTGAAAATTTGCTTGGTAAGATTCCTTGAAATAAGAAGGGATATTTAGATAAATCAGATCTTGTAATTAGCTGGCAGAACTTATTTTGAACTATATTTGACCAGAATCAGGGAAATTACAAAATAAACCGCAAATGCTCAAAAGTCTTCTGTTTTCAGATTTTCCAGTGTTTCATCTGAGATACAACTCAAAATAAGATTATTTGACTTAACAAGATGAAGCATTGTCTAAAAACAAGACCCGATATCTCACTGCATTGTTACTTTTGAAGTTATTATGTCAAGTGTAAAGACATATTCTGACTAGATATTAGATAAATATACTTTATATATATATAATATATTTTGAGTTGTTTGTAGTGTGGACAGCTGCATCTTGATTTATTAAGCAATTAATTAACTGCTTAACCTCTGGTGTGACATAACGTGTAGCACATCAGTACGTACCTCCTCTTTAGTTTTCTTGGATATGACCCGGAACCAATCTCCAATCATACTGAGCACAGCAGCAAAGTACGCCAGGCCCACCAGGATCCAGAACCACACCACAGGCTTGTAATAGTTCAGAAACTCTGGATTATCTGACCCACCTGCTGTGACACAACAAGTGGGTTATAGAAGTTAGATTTTCCTGGGTTACATGTGTTACTTACCAATTAAAAACAAAAATCAAGCAGGCTTGAGTCCTGAGCAAGTCCACATGGTAGGAATATATAATATAAAGAGGGGGGTCAAATTGAGATGATCTAGTAGAATTAAAATCATCACTATTATTCGTAGAGCAACATTGTAAATATTTAACCTGACAATCACATTTTTAACATTGTTATTTATAAAATAGGTTAAAGTGCATTGTTAAAAATACAATATGGTGGATTTGCTTCATGTGCCACTTCATTAAAATCCAAGTCAAAGTATTTGAGTATTTTCTTTTCTTCTTGAGTGGGGATATTTTGTTCAGTGACATAAGAAAAGGTCTTTAAAAAGAGTAAATTGGGTATTATGGTGGATTTTTTTTGCCATGAGTACTGGAAAATATACATGAAACATGTCTGATACGACACTTTATGTAATACTGGATGCATCTTACCAGTTGCAAAAACTGACGCTGCCCTCCAATAATAAAATCAGTCACAGTCCTCTTCTGTATTTATGGAAGAGCCTTCAATAAATAAACTGGTATGATACAGCACAGACGGCCCGCTCGCTGTGCAGTTAAATAAACAGCCATTACAGCTCCAGTGACAGTGGTCCAGGCTCACTTTACACCACCTGGGCCAGCTCCAGTAACAGTGGTCTAATCTATAATCATTAGGCCCACTGAGGGAGATTTAATCTAGCAGCTAAGTGGTTGTGATTTTTCCCATCTGCCTGTACCGGTTTGGTAGTCAAGCAGGAGGAATCAAGCTGATACCACCTGTCAAACTATTCTTTTAGATGTTACAGGTAGGTGTTGGGATGGCTTTGATAAATGCTCAAAAAGAGAAATATTGTGTTTCATTGTTTGTATGTCACGTATTTCATAGCCTGAGATTCCTATTACTTGAAGTTACATCATGTTATGTGAAAACTGTTTTTTTTGTATTGTTGTAGTAATGAGTGTAGATTCCTTGTTTGACAGATGGGATAGTTAAACATATTGCAGGGATTTGGATGCATTAGACAAAAGTGTCAGAACACATGTGGCGCACATCTGTCGAGTCACACTATCTGAGTGTAACTCAATACATCAGAAGGAAAATCTAAAAACCTTTTTCCCCAGCGACAAAGTCCCCGAAGCCGATCGTGGTGAGGGTGATGACAACAAAGTAGATGGACTCCAGAGTGCTCCAGCCCTCAATGTGCTTGAAGATGACGACTGGCAGCGCCACGAAGATGAGGCACCCGAACAGAATGAAGATCAGAGTGGAGATAACGCGGATCTTCGTCTGGCTGACCTTCCACTTCTGGTTGGAAAGAGAGGAATAGCTGATACAAAGAATAGATGATACAAAAACATTTAACACTATATAGTTTAAGGCAGATTTGTAGCATAAGACATTAAAGGAAATCAACATGTGGCATATTTAACACTACATCATTTCACAGTGATTTCTTTTTTTCTCCCTCTCACATTGTGAATCACGTCCTTCACCGTCTTTCCAGGAATACAGTTGATATTTTGTAACATCTCAAACATCAGTCTGCCAAGTTCATGTGACATAACTTTCTCTGTCAGATGGCACGCCCACCCGAGCGATCATAAATGGATGCATTGCAGTTACAGCCTGTGCTGTCAGCAGAGATTTTTTGTTAGACAGGACCCATGAAAACCCTCTTTTGAAACACAGGTACTCAACATAGGAGTGGTTTCTAAATCCAGTTTTTCTCTGTGCTTCTTTTCCACTTGAGGTGACTGCTTTTAGCTGGTTCCCCATGCATCGTGCCCTTTTCCCTTCCTGTTATGTAAGACCAAAGCACAGAGTCTCTGAGGGGAAGCATAAAGAGCAGACAGGCCTCACTTCACTGAGTCTGTGATGTCTAATGTAACCGCTGCACACAGAAAAGTACAGTAGTATACAGTTTGAAGACCAACAGTGAGTCCTATAAAACCCAATTAGCTGAAGACAAAGCATTAATGTATTCCAAAGGGACTTGTGAAGCCGAGTTGGTTTTCCAGCCGGTATCTTCAGTTGCATAGCAGCTGCTACAGTCCATATATTCCCATTGTTTCCAGCCAGCTGCCTTCATCCCTCCTCCTCTTCAGGGAGGGAAGCCATAGAGCCAGGGATAAATCAAAAGGATCTTAATTAACCTGATACTTGAATTAATATTGCTAGTGTAAGTGATTTTATATGGACAAACGAGGCTCTTACCTTGAAATTAGAGACCGTTTTCATGGACTTCTATTGACATTTGGTCTGTCTTTTATCACAGCATTACAGGTGTTTGATGACTGCACACAGGTACAAAGTGACATCCTATTTAAATGAGCTCTGGTAGAAAAACTACATTATAAAGGACTCTCTACTACTGCTACTGCATAGGTTATTTGCAAAACAGTGTTTCCTTTAAATTATGTAATGATGTATTTGCAAGAGTAAATACAAAAATGCCACTCAGGTTATGTATTTCTAAACATAATTATGAGGCAATGTTTATTAAAGTATCGGGGAAGTCACACAGTGTTTACACTAGTTAAATGTTACATGACAGCATTTTGATCTTTGATTTTGTTTCCAGATACATTGTCCTTTAATAGCTATAAATGCCTTACTCAAATCTTATATGGTTTTGTTTAGGCACTCACAGCACTTGGTTAAGGATAGGGACGGATTGTTTTTGGATAAATATTGAAAATGTCAACACTGACTAACTTTTTATTTGCTTGTTGGATATCATTTGAATGTTTTCTTAATGTCTTATGTGTCATGTATTTCTATGCCCCTATAAACCACTTTAAATTCCCTTATGTCTAAATGGCGCTAAATAAATAAACTAGCATTGCCTTGAGGCACAAGAAAGGGTGTGTGCACTTTATTAACAATAATACAAAACCTCAATCTTTTCCTTACCATAACCAAAGTGGCTCTGTTACATAAATCTAACTCTCTGTATCCCTGGCTCTGATTGCAGTCATTGGGGAACTCCGTCATCCTGGACGTAAAGACGGCTGATTGGGTTAATAACACCACCCGCTGGCAGTCTGAACTGTTTCAATCACTCAGGGTGCAAAACAGAAAAACTATTTCCATCTGCATTGATCCAATTGGTCCCTGATATTAGCCGGTTTTGACTCTTTAGCCAACACACTGCACATGTCTCCATTCACAGTGCTGTGACACCCAGACGCGCTGATGTTATCTCATCATCTAATATATTCTTCGCACTAAATAAATTGATGTGTAACTGCAAGCATCTGTGCTGTTTTTTCTTCATGACACACGCATTTGGAATAGTTTTCACGCCTCTGCGTTCTGATGACTTGTGCATTAATGTAACCGTCGCTCACTTCAGGACAAAAGCCTCACTTTATGATCCAATTTACCACACACGGCAACATCCTCGCCTTCATTTTAAGGATTCACATGAATATACTGTTACAAATAATCAGCTTCACTGCATCCTTTACTTACTTGTACTTAGGGTCTTATATTTTATCATATAGTAACCAAGCCATTTTACTATAATTGGTTTAAAATCTGTTCCTGCACATCTATGTTTCTTTGCCTGCTTTTATTTTCTCGTTTTGATACTGCGAATGTTATTAATTATCTAACTTCACAAGGCATGTGCATTGTATCACGCATATACTTCTTTCAAATCTGTTTGTCTTCATTTTATCACTTGAGTGCCTTGTTTTTCTACATATTGTTTGAAGATCATTGCAACTTTGTGTACCACTATTGGCAAATCAAAATGTCCCATGTGGCATAAAGTGTGTCTTATTATCTTAACCGCTTTGTATTGCATCTGTGGGATTAAATGTAATATCGATTTTTGAGATTACGATTCATTATTACCCTTCCAGTGACTGCAGAGTCAATTTAAAAAAAGGATTATAAAAAGCACCTCTACATTAATTCTGGTACAAGAACAAGCAAAATAGGAAAGTATTTCATTTGTGAAGATGAAATACACTCACTGTTGTCAGATAACATCCTAATTGGATTGCACATGGGGCAGCTGTTCCACTGCTTTCATTTTTCACTGGGAACATTTTCCATGAAAACCTTAATGACTAAGCATCAACCCGACTGTCAGGCAGAGTCTATTTCCATTCTGTCTACCATGACAAATGGTCCTTTCTAACTTCTATGACTGAAAAGAACTCATGTGAATGTATATACTGTTTTTGGTTGTATAGGGACAGAAGTGATAAATCTTTGTGCAGCTAGTTTATTACAAAAGAAATAAGGTAAGAAAAGGGCAGTGAGTTCAGCACAAAGTGCAAGCAAAGCAAGACTTATCTTTACCGATCTTATATTGCTTGAAAACAACTGTTTATTTATTGCTATCGGCTTTCAGTACTGCAACAAACCGTCTGCACTTATGAGTGGTTTCCAGGTTCGTTGACATGGCAACCCAAAACCTGCATCCAACTTTAATCACTGACTGCTGTAGCAAAGTGTACAATATTGAATGTGAATCTTCAGCTGTATTATTTAGCTGCTCTTTATAGCAGCGCAGGCAATATGACTTTACAGCTGCATTGGCATCACCTGGATAATTAAATGGTGTTGTCTGTATTTAAATGGCTAACTGCACCCAGGAGAACACACAGTGAGGTGATTCAGAGACAAAAACAAGCTCATATATATACGAAGGAGCTCACCACAATCATCTTCTCTACTTTGGCGATGCCCTTCCCAAAAATGGTCCCCAACTGGTCCCCGACACCAGCCAATAAGAATCCAAATAGGGGAATCCCAAGCAGAGCGAAAATAATACAGAAGATCCGCCCACCTTCTGTGTGAGGAGAGATGTTCCCAAATCCTAACAGAGAAGAGACACAGATAGTTCATTAGCTCATCAGGCAGCATTTAATTCAAAATGTCGATATAAATCAACTCCAACATAGCAAGGTAGTGTGTATGTTATTGCATTATACAAGTCATGGTAACAAGCTACAAGACTGTGACGCTAGTCTGCAGGTTGACACTACTGGGGATGTCATGTTTCCTAAAATTATTGCTACTTTCTTCAGGAAGTAAATATGTTGAAATGTTTTTTTACACTTATATAAAAATAGATCATCTTCTGTGTGCTTATTTTAATTCATAACTGTATGTTTAGCAATTGTACTTGGTTTACTTTTCAAAACTGGACTTTTCCCCTGTTCCTTTATACCAGCCTATGACTGGATATCTTTTTAACTTTTTTAAGCTTTATTCCCTGTATTGCTTACATGTGTTAACGTGTGTGGAATCTTTCAGTGCTGTGTAAAAACCATGTCAACTTGCATGGAGCATTTTGCGTTTGATTGCATCACTGAACTTTGTGAGTTGATACAGTGTAGTTGAGATCAAAATGAAGGGTCGTTGCGTCTGGTGTGATCCCATTGCAATATGGCCTCCAGTTTATTTATGCTGTGAGAATTGTATTTATCTTTTTGCAATATCAGTGTGCACATTATGCAGTCTTCTACACTTGCCTGGTAGGCAACAGAAAGCAATTTTGCAAGAAAGACTGTAAATGTTTTGTGGCTACAACGAGCTCACTCTGGTGCCTCGCAATAAAGCTCTGAAAGAACGTCCTGGGAAGTGTAGTAAGTGTTCTGTTTGTTGGACATTCTGTGGCTAATTAGTCTACATCCTTTAAAGTTGGCAGAAGAAGTTCTATTTCTGGCTCTACAAGAAGGCTTTCCACAAAGCCTGGCTGTGCTTTAACATCACTGCAGACAGACAGTAGAATAGCTGAGGGCTTTGAGAAATTTCAGCAGTGAGACATTTAATTTGTACTATACTACTAACCGAGTCAGGCAAAAGTTTATACAGTAACACCCCCTCAGTCCTCGAGCAAGTCTGATGTGAATTTAAAATGATATGAACACCAAAAATGAAAGGAAATACAGTACGCTGTACGTAGTAGTAGTACAACAATATATCTATGCACACACAAAAGCAGGTCTTATAGAAGTCAGTACAAAGAAAAGACAATCTTTAAAGATGACTCCACACACACAATATGGCTTTCATTATTTAACAATTCATAATGGGTCTGCATAATGAACTACATCTGCCTTTCTCCATTAATGTAGTCATCTGTCTCAGGATTCGAGCTGCAGGGTCCCTTCTCATTTCTTTCCACTCTCACATTGGAATTGCGCGATATTAATTGTAAAACAATGTCAATCAAGTCTCACTTATTTCATGATTAGTTCAATGGGAGGCAGGAGGCCAGACCTCTGGATGCCCCTGCAGAACAAAAGAGACAAAGCACTTGTCTTACTTACTGTAGAGCTGCACTCGCGCCTGTCCTTTTTTGATACCCTGAAGTAAACAGATCAATCCTTCTTTATATTCTCAATTTATCTTGAAATGCTGTCACAATAGGAGAGGCTTAAAAGCAAGCTATGGATCGTAAGCTCAAATAGTAAGTGTCATGCATCATGAAAGATCGTACCAGTCAGAGAAAATTGCCAATCCTTGTTTTTTAAATAGGTGTAAGGGTCTGAGAGGCAGGGTAGTCAGCGGCATCATACGCTTCAACCCTCCCCAAATTGGCAGTATTGGGAGCAGGTGTGGAGAGCCACGCACCAGGAGTCGATCTCCACAACAAAGGAGATGAACGCCAACAGAGCAGTTCAGATGGGGTGGCTCAGGAGACTCCGGGTCTCTGAAGAAGTTTGTTTCTGATCCTAGCCGGTAAATCGGTTAGCGGTCCGGCTAAGGTAAAGATTCATAATTCAATATTCAAAGGTTTTATTGTCATAACATAATATACACAACTACTGTGTATCTATGTAATGTATGAACAACTTAGATCGCAGGTTCCTCAACAGGAACATTTTTCTTTTTGTATTACTTTTAATATAGTATATTTTAATATTGGTTAATATTGTCTGCTTATCTGTATTATTGTGTTGCACTGTTGGAGAAGCCTGTGACCTAAGATTTTCAACGACATAATTACTCTGTAGCTATGTTAGTTTGACAATAAAGAATCTTGAACCTTGAACCTTGAACAGTGCAATTACAAGACATAAAAAAAGATATGTATAAAAAACAACAATTCACTTTTGGGTTTTCGAACTTGGAGTCGGTGATTGATTGCTCCACCACCAGTTTTTTCTTTTGTCTGTGACATAGGATTGAAATAGCACAATTTCAGCACTTTTAAAGTTTTGAATTCCAATTAATAGGAGGATAATATTAATAAGTCATTTAATTAGTATCACCCCTTGACATTAACACTGCCTGCATGAATAATACATTCAACTCTTTAATGAGCACAAGCTTTAAAATGGACAAACCCATTTCTCAGTGTGCCCCAAATCACTGCTTCAGCTACACTTCTGACTAGAATACAGTATGTAACAAACCTACAGTATGCAGCGATATGTCACGTCCTCTTAAAAGAAGGAATTAATTTGCAGTGAACAATCAAGGCTTAAGGACTTCCTTTCAAATTAATTTAGTGATGCTAGCAGAGGAAACTGCAGCTTGGCATTGAATTTAGTGACTTTACAGCTTTTTCTCAAAGACACACTGTGTTGCTTTTGTTGTTTTGTGGATCCTTTAATTGCAAAAAAAAGTAATTGTAATGAAACCCTGTCATGGTAGGGTTAAAGTAGTAAAACCTGACTGCACTCACGTGAATGTCTTGTTGTTATCACTGTCATATTTCCAATTCCCCACTCACAGTAAAGCTCACAGTGAACAGTAAAGAACATTCGATTTTTTCATGGTGCTGTTCATCATATGAAATAACATACTTTGTTCAGATAAAAAGGACACCTGCTCCACTGGCTTGATAACAGCGAGGGAATGTTTTTCAAAAAGAATATTAATGCATTTTTCCTTCATGTGCAGGTCACAAAGGATCATTCATTTGAGATTTAGTTGATCCATGCACTATAGAAAATGTGAATTTCAGCAAGAATAATATAGTCTAAGAGAAGGCATCGCATGGGGAAGAAATGCTGTGAGATCAATCGTTGCTGCACGTCTTTCATTCATTTCATTTAATCGTTGCAGGGACAATGCACATTGATGAACACTTTCTCAGGAGAGTTTGCCTCAAATCCAATTTAAGATCTTTGAATACACCGATCAATATGTGGATATGGATTATTGCCCAAAGTCAGAAGAGTAAAAAAAAGCTGAGAGTGGATGCAAACTCTAATATGTTTTCCCTTTCTGCACTTTATTAGATTCCTTCTGAATAGAAAATAAAGCCATTAAAAAGCTTCTATGTGCAGCTACGACCGCAGAACATTTTGTACCAATCAAGCTAAATGATGCTGAACAGTCAGCACAGCAGTTATGGCAGTTTACACTTACACACATCATAGGAGATGCCCACCAAACACCAGCAAAAAAAAGGTAGTCGACATTCTCAGAATAAGGTGAACACTTAGTGAAGCTTTAACTTTACACCTTTAATCCGACACTTGAGCGCTTATATTTTCCAAGTAGTGGGCAGAATCAAGTTATTGCAACGCTTGTTCCTTTTTCTGACTGAAGCATGAGCTTTGACAGCATCCTAGAGACTCAAGAGCCCATCAAACAGACACTCTCATATGTTAGGTTCTGCTTCAATGAGCCAGATAACACTGTGTGTGTGTACGAGTGTCTGTGTGTGTCTGTCAGTGGTGAGCCGTGAGCTTTATACCTAGGCCCTCTGACCCCCACCAATTCCCTCGAAAAAAAGAAAAGAAAAGAGTTATTACGTCACAGACAGCGACCCTCTACCACACAAAACAACACCTGTGAACCCAATTTGTGTTCTTTGACATTGAAAATGATATTGCATTGTGTTTGTTACTTTCGTTGCAGTTGTATGTCTTAAGTGTAATTTGGCATGCTTTTATTTTGAAGGCGAGTTCACGCTGTTGACAGGAAGTTGTTGTTGCTATAGAAACAAGAAAAGTTTCACAGCGGGCGGAACTTGTCATAAAGTCCGCGATAATAAAACCCACCCATTTAGAGGGAAGATATGATTGGTCAATTGTACTGTCATTTGACATTACTCTCTCGTTCAGTTACTATAGCGGGCCCTCTGTGAATCGCAGAGAGGGCCAGACGAGCTTCTTTCATGTAACCCTTCACATTCAACAGAGACTGAACAGGCAGATTCGAAGGATTTATTTCTTTGGAAATGTTATTTTAAATACAATTAAATCAAGTTTTTTTTCGGTAAAACTAATGAAAGATATAACAAAAATAATATTAAAAAAATATATATTTAAAAAATATATTTTTTTTTAAATGTTTTTAAATATTATTTTTTAGAATATCTTAGGCCCTCACAGAGGGCCTAGAGGGCCCTGACGGCTCGCCACTGGTGTCTGTGTGATGTAGCTGTACATGGCCAAAACAATGTTGCAACATTGGTGCGCAGAGGTACAAGCATAAGGCTGGTGCCTAAGGTGCCAGATTCAAGTTAAGAAATTCCAATTTCTTGCCAAAATATTCATTAAGGTTTGCACTTTGCAGGCACTTGAAGGCCAATAATCAGGAAAAACAAGCAAAAACATGTATTCCAACTCAAGGATGAGCTCTAACAGGATGCTGGAGATGAGAAATGGAGTTCAACACCCCACTGAACAGATGCACTGATCTGACAAGGTCTGCTCGGAAGAACCAGATGAGCTGTCAGGCTATGTGTGTGTGTGTGTGTGTGTGTGTGTGTGTGTGTGTGTGTGTGTGTGTGTGTGTGTGTGTGTGTGTGTGTGTGTGTGTGTGTGTGTGTGTGTGTGTGTGTGTGTGTGTCTGATTAGTAAGCTCTTACAGCTGGAGGTGACAGAGTACGTGATCGTGCTACAGGCTGCTACAATTGACAGCTTCTACATTTTACAGTACAGTAACCAATTGCAAATGAGCACAGGCACTACAAAAGTATATTCCTCTGTAGTGTCCGATAAACTTTAGCTCTTAAGGCTAAAGTTCTCCTTCTAAAACCAGTCAACTGAAAGCCCACATTTTCTCCAACAGACAGGCACTCACATTTTGTTCTGAAATAAAGTTGTAGAGTTGTGAATGAGGCCTGAATTGATTTATTATTGAGAATAATCCAAGTGTATACACAGATTCCACATTTCTTACACCCAGGCCACCGTCTGGAAAAGGAGCTGATGCAATTTTTTGGTTAGCAAGTGTTATTTTGCGTTTGTACGTCATTTCAAGCTAAAACGGTCATCAACATTTCTTTATGCCTCTGAAGGCTTTGTGCAGGAGGTAATGATAAATTGACTTCTCTTACCGATAGTGGTGATAACAGTCCCAGCAAAGAAAAAGGAAGAACTGATGTCCCAGAGGCTCGTCTGATTAAAGGCATTTCCTGTGGGGTTCACACCTGCCCGGACTGCTGAGACCACTTGCTGGAGTGGAAAGATAAAAGGGAACAAAAGTTAGTACGTAATGCACTTTCTCCCAGTGGCAGTGTGCTGCGAGGTAGGCTGATTAGAAAATAACTGGTGTGCATCCATTTTCTCGGGGAATGGAGATGACAGCCAAGATAAACATCCAACCAAAACCAATTAAGAGTTGTGAGAAACAATAAGATCATCTGTCAAATAAAAAAAAAGCATAATAAAGATCAAAATAGCTGCACATTTGAAGCAAAGCATGCAACAGTTATATTGCTATGGACGGATTAAAATGAGGGTGCTTTGAACATATATTTTATTCCAACCATTACTTTAAAATGATTTCCCAAAATGTACAATTACTGCAGCACACATGTGCATAGTCAGTCTATTTTTCTACAAAGTCATTTAATTATCCTTTTAACACATTTACAAAAAATACTGAATGTAATTTAATCAGTTCACAAATCTTGTCACCATCATTCTGTCATTTAAAGGGGACCTATCATGCAAAATGCACTTTTGTACATCTTTTATACATGAATATGTGTCCCCGGTGTTCCAGGGAACTCACCAAGTGTCAGAAAACACAACCCTTTCTCTTTTCCTCCATACCCAAATCTCTAAAAACGGGGCTGCAATGGATCTGATACAGACTGATACAGATTTGAACATTTCTCTGATGTCAGGACGGAGGAGCTCCGCCTATATGGCCAACTCTCCACCTATCAGGGGAATGAGAGGTTGTCGTGACATGGTAACAGCATGGTAACATGACGCTCGTAACTCGGCCCCCTCCTTTGCAGGGGGGCGTGGTCAGCTGCAGCGCATGCAAAGACAGGGTGGAGGAGAGCAAAATAGAGCGAAATGAGGCATGGCTAAAATGCATGATCTGTTTGGTATTTTGAAAAAGAAAACGTATAAATATACCTTATATAGGTATGGCCCTACAATATATTATTCAAATATAGCATGATAGGTCCACTTTAATTCATGATCTAACCCTGCGTGGTTGCATGGAACATGTTCAGAAAATGGAAATCCAGCGCTCAGGCTGCAGGGTCTAGATTGAGCATTTTAACACCATGAGATGACTGATGGTGTGATTTTGAGAAGCTTTGTGACCGTTGCTATGATGGGATATCTGGGTCAGTGTTGGGTTTATCAGTCTTGTCCAGGTGATTGGTTGACTGAGTGTGTGTATGTGGGAGACACAAGGTTTTAAAAAGTGTCACAACAGAGTGTGACGAGCCGTTTAGAACACCAGCCAGCCAGCTATGCAGGACGCAGGTCAGCAGAGTGTTTCCCCACTCAGTGCTGCACTCGCATGACAGGAGACAAGAGGGAAGTGAAGCCAAAAGCTGGAAGGGAAACACACCACTGCACCACTTTTCACACCCACCATCACCTAAAGATAGACGTGAGGAGCAGCGAAGAGCCACACACTAAAAGATATGCTGCCATACAGATACACTGGAGTGTTAACAGAGACTTTATAACAGTCTGTTGCAATAATATAAATAGTCTGGCTAACTACATTACCTAGTAACTGAGAATGACTTATTGAGCCAAGGGGTCTGTCAGGGACCAAGCAGTAAGGCACACATGTCAAACTCAAGGCCCGGGGGCCAAATCCGGCCCGTGGTGGATTTAATTTCGACCCGCAGGATAATTTCTAATTACTATTAGATCTGGCCCGCCGGTATATTGCACGCACACCTTCACTCAATCCTGAAGGTTTCCCAAACATTGATGAACTTGCACCCAAGATGAGATGCCAAGTATCTGGCTTGAACTAGCATCACAGAGCAGCACACTGAGTTTAATGGATGTTTCCTTTTGCACTTTTTTTTTGCGACAACAGGGCATGTTTGTTTTTTCTTTGAGGGAAATTGTTTTTTTGAAGCTGTTGTTGGCCTGTGGAAAAATGTAATCATAAGAAATGACTCGGGAAAAGCTGCAGATAGAGCCATAAGAAATTAATGCAACTGATTATTTAATGTTTAATGTTGTTTTTATAGTCAATAATTTAAGCGTTGTTAGTTCCAGGTTTAATATGTGCAATAAGTTCATTTCAATACGTTTTGCAATACACATTTAACCAGTCCGGCCCTCGACTTGTACCGATTTTTCAATTTTGGCCCACTGTGTATTTGAGTTTGACACCCCTGCAGTAAGGCAACAGGACAGAGGAGTTGTTTAAATAAACTGGGTTTTTATTTATCCAAAATAAAACCCAAAGAAAACATTATAAACCAAGAATCTCTAATAACTAGGCCTATAATAGAGGTCAACAGAAAATAAACATGACATCAACTTAACAGGTGTTGACTCAACAAACTGCTACAATGCTTGGCCAAACAAAGTTGAAACCATGGAGTAATTAAGATTAACAGAATACAAAAAGGACACTGACAAAACCCAAATCCCTCTTTGACATGGAAGCAGGTTGTTTGTCCCAATCTGTCCCAATTGGCTGCTTGCAGTATTTGTGAGTCCTCACTCCTCAGCGCTCAGCCACGCCTTTTGCTGAACCAGGAAGTAACCTCCCCAACGGCCACGGTAACTCAAAGACAAAGAAAGTAATTAATACAAACAAATACTTGTGTTAGCTGTGCTAAAATGTTTGAAAATACACTAAGTAATGTCAGATTACAAGCAAATGAAGAGTTCACCATCTAAATCAAATGTGTGGTGTGTTAGTAATTGGGATGTTTTACTGCAGCTGAACTGAAGCAAAACTACTGAAGGTAAGGGTGCAGTGTAATTGTTTTACCCTGTTTGGCTGTGGCTATCAAAGGGTCTATCATTAAAGGTCCCATCATATGCTTTTCTGGTTATTACCCGTCCCCTTGTGTGTTATGTAGCTTTTTCTGCATGTAAATGGTCTGCAAAGTCATAAACCCTCAAAGTACACCCTGTAGCGAGTAAAACTCTAACACAGAAAAGACGTATCTATGCTGCCCCAGAACGCCTCGTTGTAGATTTTTCTTTTTCCATTTTTTTCTTCCGGGGCAGGTTGACGTCACTAAGTCCAAATGGACCAATTGGTCCAAATGGACCAATCCGCACACACACACACCCGCGGAACTCAGACCCCATGCAGCAACCAGGAAACTACCCCAGTAATCCACCTCACACTGTCCTCTCCTCGAGCCCCACAGGGCGAAGCAGCGAGCTCCGCAACGTCCCGCCAACACGGCACCCAGACCCCACGCAGCATTCTCATCTGTTTGTCATTACTGGTGTCATTTCCTGGTTGCTAACAAACATCATTGTAACACATAAACACTGATGTCCAGCTGTAACGGTGGTTGACTAATCAGAACAGAGTGGGCGAGCTGACCAATCATAGCACAGTGGGCTCATAGGGAGGGGGGGGGGGGCAGGAGCTCCATCAAGGCGTGTAGGACAGAGAGTGAATACACATACTATACAGAGATGCTGTATGAGAAAACCAATGTGATTTTGGAAAATTGAACAATGTAAATCTGTTCTAGTTGACCTCAACAATGGAATTATGATCAGTAGAAATGACCAAGACATGGGACCTTTAACTTCTTTTATACGTGGGTTGACAGGTTATGTTAAAAAACAACAGCCGGCTTCCACACAACCAGAACAGCCACTGTGTAGTGTTTTACAACATGAGGGAAATTGCTTAAATGGCCCATAATTTAAAAAAAAATTCCGATTGGACTGAAAGCCCATTTGTCCAACAGTCCATTACCCACACCAAACAAACAAACAACACCATTGCACCGAAGGCACATTGCTCTGGTGTTTTTGTTTGGGATAAGGGGCTTTCGGACTTTTCATCCAATTAGACATGCATTTGCCAAATAGACTATTTGGCTTTTGGAATAATGGCATGGCACAGTGAGCAAGCCAATTTTGGAAGCTACTATAGAAGACTCAACGTTAAAGTTAGCAGCTCTGTCCTGCCCTTTATTGATTTTGAGGAAGTTAACACTCCTGCAACAGCATTATCAGAAATAGCAATATGTTTGGCGAAAAAGAGTGGTTAAAAGTAAGTACTCTAAAACCCCATTCTATCCTAATGTTAGTGAAAACTATTTATATCTGGTACATTTACTATTATCCTCTAAATATCCTATTTTACCCCTTTTACATGGTACTTGTTTTAAACGGTTCAGCTGAAACCCTTTATCCTGGACATGCCAATGGTAGCTTAGCTAGCTAGCCAAAATTGATAATATCTGTCCAAATCAGTGGTCATCACAAATGTACAGCCTGATCTTATCTACCTCTGTCCAAAATTATAAACATAATGTTTCAAACTTTCCTTTTGTCTACACCCCATTATTATTGTAAACTGCATCTCACTGCACTAGAATGTGAAGTTTCACGGCTGACAGGTTGTGAGGCTTAGCAATAACTGTCCAATTCTATGAATGCTAGATTAATCTGATCGCAGCAGTTTTTTTCAAAGATACTCTATCTGTTCACTGCAGTGAAACAGATAGATGTCTCGACCCAAGTGGCTTCTCAAGATAAAGAATCATGACTGAGATAAATGAAAGAGAAAAGCTGAAAGTCCTTTGGGGAACCGCAGACACAGCTACAGAACTGATGCCAATAAATCATAGCAGAATACTTTACTGGACTACAGCGTTTATTCCACTACATATATGTGGGATGTTTGCCACTAAAGAGCTATTAAATTGATTTAAGAATGAGTAGTGCACCATAAATGTAAGGCCAGTGAGGGCTAAGCTCGTTTTGATTATCTAGAATAAGTATTAAAGATCAATAAGCCTTCAAGAACAAAGAACCAATGCTCCAATATAATGTGCCGCATGCAGCACACCGACCACCTGAACTAGCACTGTCAGCTTTTTCTGCATGCCTGCACGCACACACGCACGCACGCACGCACGCACACAGGCACACCGCAATGTCAGTGTGTTGCGATTCATCATCCTTGGTGAAACTGAGAGAGCTTTAACCTCGAATGTTGATTTTGATAAGGCATTAAAGATCGAGTGAGA